TGATGCAGTCAAATTTTCTTTTTTATAAATATGTTATAAAATCAATATCATTCTAGATTGAAGGAGCACATACAAATGAACAATGATCCACGTATTCGTCAATTACTTATTGAAAATTTAATGAAATCAGGTAGTAATGAAGAAATGCTTCAACAAGTTCGCAATTATCCGTATGTATTTTTATTCGTTTAATTTTTTCTAATGATAATCTTTCTATTTGTTTCTATATAAAAGAGCAACACATTTTGAACGACTTGAACGTGAAATGAATGATGATTCAAGTTTTGATGGCGGTCGATTTGATACAGGAGCAATGGGAGATCTAGATCCAATGGTAAGTTAATTTATTTTAATAAAACAAAAATGAAAATCTTTTCTGACATTTATTTTAGTGTGATGATGTTATAGGCGAAAACTTTAGTGATGAAGATCTGTAGTGAACAATTTTTCTTGTCAAAAAATATATATCTCTTAATTGTATATTAGACTTATTAATGTAATAAAAAAAACACAAATGTGATAGATATGCGCAGGAGCACTTGAAAAATAAATATAATAAGTTCAAAATATTATTGTCATAAACGTCAATGAGTCTATCATTTGTTTTCAGTATTTTCATCGAAAAGCCATAAAAAATAAAGGAAAAATAACGCAAATAATTTTCTTTCGTTTTCTTTTTGTCCTCTTTACCTTTTAAGATATTTATCTCGTTTATTGTTACTTATCTACATGATAATGTATTGTGTTTGCTGCTTCTTCATTCCTTCATAGTTGATCCGTTTTTTTATTTATAATATAACATGGAGTGTAATAATAACGATCATCAACAACTTTCAAACCCTTATGCTATCGAACTAAATAATGTTACCATTCGCTTAAGTAACAAAGATATTTTAAAATCAATTACTCTTGCTATTGAGCAAGGTGGAATGTAAGATATTTTATCTTCCTTTTTGTTGTCATATGCTTATTTTAAATTGATATAGTTTTGCTTTACTTGGTCCGAGCGGTTGTGGAAAAACAACTCTAATACGTACGTTGGTTGGTCGTTTACATCCTATTAATAATCATGATGGAACACGAGGAAAAATATCGATTCTTGGTAAAGATCCTCATGCATACGGTCAACTTGTTGGATTTATGCCTCAAGAAATGGCATTACATTTCGCAAATACGATTGATGAGGAACTTTATTTCTATGGTCGTTTAGCAAATATGCCTAGTGAAAAGATTCAACAACGATGTCAATTTTTAATGAATCTTCTTGAATTATCACATAAACGAAAATTAATTTTTAAATTAAGTGGCGGACAACAGAGACGTGTTTCATTTGCAATTGCTCTTTTGCACGAACCGAGGTTACTTATTTTAGGTATTATTGTGTATAGGTGTTTCTTTCAAATATAGTCAATTAACAATAGAACATCCTAATATTTAGATGAACCAACTGTTGGTGTTGATCCACTTTTAAGAAGAAAGTAAGGTATAGTCATATTAAAATAAAACATACATATTCAATATAGAATTTGGCAACATCTCACAGAGATCACGATGAAAAATGATGTAACTGCTATTCTAACAACACACTATATTGAAGAAGCACGACAGGCTAACCTAGTAAACATAAATATTAATATATATATATATTGTGAGCTATTATATCTATATTAGGTATCTTTTATGCGGCATGGTCAACTTTTAGAAACAGGTCATCCTAATGAGTTATTATTGAAACATGAACAACAAGTTGTGTAATTAATTCCTATCATATTTAATACAAAGAAATTTTATTCTAGAGTCTTGAAGGTGTCTTTCTTGAACTATGTGAACGACGTCAGATGTTAGACATCCAATTTCAAGGAAAAGAAAAACTCCATCATCATAAATCTTTAACAATTGCAAATAAAGTAGTTCAAGTTCAAATGATTTGAAATAATAAATCATTAATATTTTTCAGATTTGTCATTCTTGTCAATCAGTCAAACGCCCATGCTGTAGTAAGTATTATAAATTTTATTTCTGAATTGAATTATGTTTGTGTATTAGAGAAAAATTCATGTTGTCTTGCACTTCGTTCTTGTTCACGCCCATCTACTGGTCGATCTCTTTATGCACTTCTTATAAAAGATATTATTAAATTTCAACGAAACCCATTGTATCTATAAATATAAAATAATATTCTAAATAATAATAATTATTATTATTGTTTTAAATTGTAGTATGCTTATTATTCAATTTCTTGTACCAATCCTACAAATAACTTTATTTTGTTTATGTGTTGGACGAAAATTAACTAATATTCCAATGGGATTTATTTCACGTGAAACTATTCGATCGAGTTCTACAAGTGGATTAATATTTGATAAAATTGATAAAAATGTTCTTAATCTAGTAAACTAAATTCATTAAAGAAAAACGTTTTTGATTATTAGTTATTTTTTTAAAATTTCTGTACAGATTGAATATAAATCAATAAATGAAGCTCAACATTTATTTCATTTGGGATATTTATTTGGAATTATTGATATTGGTGAAAATTTTACTCGAGAAATTTTTGATAAAGTACAGTCTTGGTAAGAATAATATTATTTTTGTCTATAGAAATATATATATATATATGTATTATTTATAGTTCATTTTCTGACGTACATAAATATAATGATTCTCAAATGATAATCTATTTAGATGAAACAAGTAGAAAATTTTGTTTTTCATAGAATAATATTATTAAGATTAATTATTAGATCGACAAATGGTTTATACAATTGCTGAAGAATTTATTCGAGTTTTTAAAATTATTGATATAGATTTTAATCTGGGACTTTTTGCGTCTACTTCATCAAATCACTCATTATTTAAAGTATAATAATAGTTTTCTTAAACAAACATATACATATATATATAAATAATTATAAATATATTAGTTAGGGCAATTTCAAAATCATCTACCAAAAATTGAATATACTTTTACACATTTTATGATACCTGGTATTATTCTTTCGTAAGATTTTCTTTTTCTTTTTCTTTTTCATATTTTGGTATATAAATAAATCAAATATTTTTATTAGTGTTATTTTTTTCTTCAATGTTGCTCTTACTGCTCTTTCAATTGTCACTGAACAAAGTGACGGAACACAAGAGCGTGTATGGATAACAGGTATATATTTATATGTTCTGTAACTAATTATATTACTTTGTTTTTCTTATTAAGGCGTGAAATCCAATCAAATTATTCTTAGCCAACTGATAATACATTCATTGATACTTATTATTCAAATAGTAATTGTTTTATTTACTTCATTATTCATTTTCGAGGTTAGAATTAATTTTGTTTCATTTTGTAATGAAAAAATTTTTCTACTAGATTCCATTAAGAGGTAGTTTATTGTATCCATCATTACTTTGTATAATACAAGGCTTTTGTGGCATGACATTTGGTAAGATGAATAACAAAATCTATGACGTGAAAGACTTGACATAAAATATTCATTCATATTTTAGCTACTTAAAGACAGCTGGCCAGAGTCAGAAGCATTTAGTCAGAATCAGGAGTGCAATAAATTCAAATCTTGCGATTTTGTGTAGAAAAATTTAGGTTTAATTTAGACTTAGATTTGGGTTTGGGCTCAAATTAACCAAGTCCGATGTAGCGCTGTGAGATAAAGTACCAAAAGAATGAGAAGAATCGAAAGTATTCAAAATTAATAAGAAACGATTTGGATTTGGTTTTATTCTACCATAAATCAAAACTTCAAGTCATGTTAGATTGAAACCAAATGCCAAATCCAACTCTTAGATCCAAATCCAAATCCCCAATTTCAAATCTAAATATAGTTAAAATCCTTAGTGATAAGTTCGAACTGGGGCCAAACGATAGCTGCATTCCAAATTCAGACGAAATTCAAGTCTAGAACCAAATCTAGACAAAATTCCAAATTTCAGAAACTAAATGCAAATTCAAATCCAAATCTCAAAGATTTGGTCCCAAATCCCAAATGTGTACTAGAGATTTGTTGCTTCCTTAGTTAGAATCAGAATATTTTTGACTCTTTCCGAATATACGTTTAGAATTTTATTCTGAGTTAAGATTGAACGACCTGTCATCAAACGATCTCTCATATAACAGATTTTTAAAATTTTGTATTTTTCAAAGCAGTTTTTGCAACAGTGATTTTTTGATCAATGCTGATTTCCATAGAAAGAAACTCTTTAGTGATAACGTATAGATAAGATTTTACTGATTGTAATATGTAATTTTGTAGAAAATTTAATGCTTATATTGACTTGAAGAAACTACGTAAACTAAGGACTGCGCCAAAACCAATATTATGCTTTATAAAAGCACAGTTTTGAACTTTTCATAAAATTTAACTGATAGTTGTTCACCTCTATCCCACATGAAAAATCTGAACATATATTCGAAAGTAATCAAAAATTGTAATTCCAGCTCAAACAGCTGTCTCTTAATGTCCGAAAGATGATCAAATGTTTTATGCCAAGACGTTCTCATTCTAGGTTATATTAACTTGTATTAATTCAATGTACATATTTTAAAGGATTAGTTATTTCAACAATTTTTACAACAGAAATCAATGCTCATCAAGTTACAATGTCTATTTTCTATCCCGTATTACTTCTAAGCGGTAATAATTAACATTGAGATCGTAAAGAAAAAGAAAAAAACAAATAAATCATTACTTATTTTAGGTATTGTATGGCCACTTGAAGGGCAACCGATATGGATGCGAACAATATCAGCATGGTTGCCGATGACAAAAGCTATTGATGCTATGCGCGGTACACTTTTAAAAGGTAAGATGGTGTTGATGTATTTATGAATGATTTCACATTTTTGTGTCTAGGATGGTGTATTCAACATTTAGTTGTACAACAGGCGTTCATGGTTTCATTTCTTTGGTCTATGGTCTTTCTTATCTTAACACTTCTTATTTTTAATTGTCGTCGTTTATAATATATACGAAATTTAATTTGGTTTTGAAATTTTTATTTTATTTTAAGATAAATAGAAAACAAACTAACACGAATTTATTTATATAGTTTTATTTAAACTTTATTACTAAAATGAGTAGTATTTGGACTTTAACAAACACGAAATTTTTTTTGTAATCACCGTATTCAGAATGTTTTAAAACTTTTTATTTAAAAACAGATGACAAAGATATTTTATTCAGAATTTCGAAAATGTTCTTTTACTAATATAAGTTTTCAATAAAAGTATTCTTTTATTTTATTTTATTATACGATAGACTTATCGAGTTCATAATCGTTGACAAAAAAAAAAGAAATTTAACTTCAGTAAATATAATAACTATATCGATATTGTATTGAAGCAATCATTTTTATAGTAAGCATGCTCTTCACCAAAAAGTTAGATCACTGCAATTCAAGTATTTGCATTTCGACGATGTGACTATCACTGATTTATTTTCAGTAATGAAGTACACAACCGAACCTTTATATATGAATAGAATTTTAAAAAGTTATCGATTAATTCAATCTCAATGATAATTATATCGTGCAATCATTCAGCAATAAAGGTAAACGATTATCTTGAAAGAATTTATTTTCAATAAAATTTTCATAATCAGTAACATCTAAATTTCTACAGAAACTAATTAACAATTCTTTTTAGTTCTAAGCTCATTATTTAATCAGCATAAAATAATATATTCACATAGTCAAATGGATAAATTGATTTTCTTGTTTTGATATATTTCAGTGTATTATTTGAAAAATAAACCGTGCTATTAAATAATTACGATTTATCGTCATTACGGTCCTTTTTTATTTCAATTAATGTATCAGCTGTCCAATCATATGTACCAAGATCTCGTTCTCTTACAGCTGTTTTCCATCCTAAATTCTCTGATCGACGTTTAAATGCAAGTCCTTCTGGAGAATGACGCGCAATACCATCGAATATTGTAGCAAACATTTGTGTTGTTCTTAAACCCATATTTTCTAATGTTTGATTAATCATTAATTTTTGCATAACAAGTTGATTGATTGGTACTGTAGCCATGCGTTGAGCTAGTTTTTCAACTTCAGTATTTAATTGTTCTTTTGGAACAGATTTTAATACAAGTCCAAGTTTTTCAGCTTCAATTCCAGTAATTTTATCACCAGTTAATAACATTCTTTTAGCTTTTTCTATACCAAGTCTAAAATATGATTTTCAATTATACTTGAAAAAATATTATTATTATTATTATTATTATTTACTTATAAACCCACATAGCTGTTGTTGGACAACCCCAAACTCTAGCTGGCATGTAACCAATACGTGCTTCATTAGCCATTAGAATAATATCACAACATAAAGCAATGTCACTACCACCAGCTAATGCATCACCATGTATTTTACAAAGTGTAGGTTTAAGTGAATAAAATAGAGACATAAAATAGTCTGTATTTCTTTTCATAAATTTATAATCTTTCATTGGATCCCATGGCATGTCTTGCATAGCCGGAGTAGTATCTTTATTTTGTGCATAATAAGTTAAATCATATCCTGAACAAAATGCTTTACCAGTACCAGATAATATAATGACATGCACCGATGGATCATCATTTGCTTTTTCTACACATTCCAATAATTCTTTAGGCATTACATCATTAATTGAATTTAAAACTTCTGGTCGATTTAAAGTAATATAAGCTAATCGATTTTTAATTTCATAATTAATTGTTGAATATGTTTTATATTGATATTGATTTATATTTGATTGTGTAGAAATAGTTAATAATAATCGAGATAAATACTGAGATGTAATTAATGTTATATTACTTTTATTAGATAATTTTGCATAAAATGATAATTTAGTTAAAAATATAGACATTATTCAATAATAAGGAAAAGTAAATGATTTACTTTTTACAATGAAAACTCAAAAAATCTAAAATATTCATCTATTAAATGATTTTTTTATATAATACTTTTTTCATAAATTATGATACGTCAAAATATTTAATATAATGATGAATCTTAAATAGTAGTCAATATTTTTCCGATAGTTGTTATACTATTTCGATGACAATATGGGTTATTTACTTGATGAAAAAGATTATACTATTCTTGTCCATAGCGTTTTCATTTGTCCGCAATCTTTTATTACGCAAAATATTCGAATTATTCTTTCATTGTCTTTCAATGATAATATCATTCAAGCGGTTATATCTGATCAACAACAGTCAAATACCTTTCACTGAATGATCGAATTATTATTTTTCACAGTCAGCAAACTATTTAAAAATAGTGTAAATCAATCTTGATATTATTTACTAAACCTAGTGGCTATCATATCTGTTTTATTTAAAGAAGTGGACCATTCTAAAACACAGTAGTGATATGATATTTCATGGACAAACCAATTATAAAAGAGAATAATAAAGTAAAAAAGACGATGTACCTGTACACCAACGACATAGTAAATAATTATAAAAATACAAAAAAATTAAAATGAATATAACATGAAGATATAAGTATTTCTTAATTATATGAGTTGATTAGTTCCAATTATCTTCAATTTAAGAAAAACAAATACAATATAAGATAGTATTTTCTATTCTATCATATCATTTGACAAATTGCTAGACAGACAAAGTTTACCTGATGGACAATGATGATCGTGTCAAGTAGCTTTCTGATTTGCAGCAGCTTGGAAAGAACTCGTTAAAAAAAGCATTCAACTTTATACTTACAATAGTGAATAAAAGTCTCTACCCCATCATGTTTCAGCTAGTATGCATGTTGGAGATTCAAAAATATGTATCTACAGACTAGACTAGACCACAGGCCAACAGTGTAATTTAGGTTAGACCGAAAAAAATGTGGCCTGTTGTGGCAACTCTCATAGAAATGTTCTTTATTCTGAAAATTGAAAAATCAAAACGAATTAAGTTCAACAAGATGCGATAAACAACGTAAAATAGAAGCCATGTAAGCACAGAATTGATTTCAATGTGATTATATATATATTATAAATAACAATATCATATAATATATTTGTCAAATAAGAATATAACATATACAAAAAAATATTCAAATAATGACTTTAACATAATTCAAAATTTTCTGTTGTTTCTAATTGATTTTTATCGATTGTTTCAAAATTATTTTCTTCGGTTGTTTTTAAATTAAAATCATCACTTGTTTTTGTCGTTGCATTACATGAAAGTGAATGAGAACGACTGAATAAAATTGAATTCGATCCAGTATTCGACATAGGTAGATTTAATTTAGCACATACATCACTACATACATGTGTACGAAAAAATTGACGCATACCTTTTATACTAAGATTAGTTCGTGTTTCTCGAAAACGTAACAGATCATTGCAATGTAATGCTGGATCAGTCAATAAATAAGCACGATCTACTTTAACACCTTGTAAATCGACCACCATAAGACGACCTGAAGTAATATGATATGTCCAATGAGAAAACGCTTGTAAGATTGTTGAATATTCACTTAAAGATACTCCACCACTATTATTATTCCACTTACGCCATTCTTGATGCATACGTCGTTCAACTTGATAGATTTTCAATGGGTCTGTTTTTTGTTGAACAAGATCAGCATCAGCATATAGAATTGGAATAAAATTTCGAAAAAGATATTGTTGTTCAGCATTAAATTGTTCGGCTAAGAATTGAGCTATAGCTTGCATTTCAAGATGTTCTTGATAGACAATAAATGTATTCGATTTTGGATCTGCACTAGCAAGTTCTTTAAAAACAACATCTACGGAAGGTGAATCATCACTACAATATTGACCATAGAAAGCAAAACGAAGTGATCCTTTAGCAAAAGGATATGGTGCAATTTTTATTTGACCATTAGTTTTACTCATAGATAAAGGATGAAAAAGATCATCGATTTTAGTGGGTGGAATAATTTCAGTTACGTTAACATCATATGTTTCTAAAGAATTCCAATCTGGTTCTTTACTAAAAAGTGTATAAGATTTTATTTGTTTATTTGAATTACGATAAAATGATATTGTTGATTCAATATTACTTTGAATAATAGAACTTGTTTTGTCAATAATATGTCGAATTAAACATCTTGGATCACTTACATGAATTTCAGATATTGATCCAAATACAAAAGTAAATTCTTCAAACATTTTGTTTGTAGTTCCATTTAATGGAATTTTACAATATGTTATACCTAATCGTTTGATATTAAACATTAATTTTGATAATTCTCGATTCTTCGGATCACCATATACATAATTATCGTTCGCTGTCCCTTGAAATTCATGATACTCTTGTCCATGACACGGTGCATCACAAATATGAACTAATAAACGATTTGGATTCGACCAAGAGAGCTGAGCAACAGTTTCTAATCCACCTAGTCATACAAAAAAAAATCATATATTAAACTATTAGTAGGCACTTATCGTCAAGAGAAAAATATAATTAAATCTTTGATATTTAGCACCGAAACCTGACATATTTCTCTCATACATTCAGTTAGTTTTCTGGAAAAGCTCAAAACTATCTCTGAAACATAGCCTTACGTATCTTCAAAACAAATGTTCAGCCCAATCAGACGAGACTTGATGGAGGTTGTATAATGCACTAGATGTGGTCCTACGGAAAGTCAGGGTTTCTTCGTGAAATCCTCTTTAAAATCTGTTTTCTCAAACATGTGTCTACTTATTTTAGACGTAACCTTTAAATTATTTTGAATTAAAAAATGACGTATTCTATGTATCTCGTGTCAAAATCAAATTCGAAGGCCATTGGTTTATTCTTCACTATTTCGTTTTCTTTTAATACGATCGAAATACTTTTGAAACGATTTCCATCGTTCAATACCAAGAACAGAAATATAAGCTAGTAGAAAAAAAAAACATGTTTCAGAACAATCAGTAACTAGAATACTGCGTTAAAGAACTATAGCTTCTTTTTTTCTTTTTCCATGAAAATATGAATAAATTTTTGACTATTATGAATGAACTCTTTTCGCTTTTTTTCGAAACTTACTAAATACATCTTCACATGTATCATCACCACCCATAGCTTGAACTTCATTTAGAAATTCTTGGAATCTATTTTCATCATCGGTGAAATCAAGTTTTTCCAAATTTTCGCCAATATCTCGATATCCAACAAAAGCAAGATAAGGTTTGATAGAATATAATTGTACGATGCCTTCAGTCAATTGACGGATTTGAGTTTTAGTTGCATCAAGATATTCTCTCATGCTGCCTGTACAATCCATAAGAAAACATAGATCAATACACGATTGTACTTTAGATATTTTAAGTATTTCGTCAATTTCATATTTTCGTTGGAGAAGTTCTTTTTCACGTTGCTCGACCATACTTTTCTTGACAATAGCTAAGGCATCAGTTGTATTTACTAATGATGACCAAGTTTTAATACGTATCAATGCTTCTTTAGTTGACGTAAGTGTATGACGTAAAGTCATATTATCCGGATTCTTACGTAATTCAATCATCTTACTTTTAAAATCAAGTGATAGTCGTTCAAATTCAGCATCTAAAGCATCAATATCGATATCAATTACTGAACCATATGTTTTTTCTGGATCCCAGTCGATGGTTGGTGCAGACATCCTATGTATTCGTTTGGTAAGACGAATTGAATCAACTGTATCTTTCGGGATAGCATCCTCCGATACGATTGAACTTGTTGTTAACGAAGTTGAATAAGATCGATTCATTGGCCAAGTATAAAAATATTTCGTGACTGTGCACACTGTGATAAAAAAAGAATATGTTAAAAAACTTTTATACGCTACTATGCATTATAAAGATATTAAGATTTGTAAAAATTATTGTAAAAGGTATAACAGATTTTCCAGTGTTTACTTATTTGGTTGTATATAGGCAAATATTTTGATATATGAATCAACTCCGAATTTGTTTTTCCTAAATGATTTGTAAAAGTTTCTGATGAAATATGTATAGAAACTGTTCATTTAGAGAAAGAAGAAATCATCTAAATAGCAATGATTCATCTGTCGTTTTGTATGTCAATTATTTAGTAACAGTTAATGCTGAAATATAACCTCTTGCAATTCAAATAAGACGAATTTATTTTGTTTCTAGTAAACAAGATCGGTCTAAATGTTTATTTATTGAAACAAAGGAAGGAATATAAATGACTTTTTCGGAAGTGTTCTGAGGTCACCACGATTGGTGGAACGGCTACTGAGAAGATAGAGTTCACAATATCAGAGCAGGTGATAATCCTTGTTGCGGAAACTGGTAACCAAACCAACCGCGGAAAATAGTTCATTGTCGTTCGAAAAAAACAAAGATTTCTTAGAGTGGGAGAGCTTTCGACCTCGCTCCCTGCTCAGGATACCTCTAGACTTTATCACGGAACTGATATAAAAATGTATGAATATGTTCCTCTTTTTCTAAATAAAAATTGAAAATATTGAATATTCGGAGTTCATATGTCTGTCTGCAAGGCTCCTTGTCTATGCTATTGTGTTGTTAAGAATATCAATTGATAATACTGACCTACATATAAGAAACGAAACAAATGATAGTAGAGATATATAAAATCTAATCAAAAGAACAGAAAATTATTCAGATTCAAGTGTGATAAAGCTCTTATTTCTTAAATGATGTTTAATAAAAGCTTATCAAAAGTCAACACAATGAAATACGCATTACATAATTCAACTACCTTTAAATTCAAAACCGTTTTAACGATTCACAAAATCTACTATATGAAAGTTTGACAGTTAATTATCAAAGAAAAATTAATATTCAAATTAACTTGATTCGAAAAATCACATATCTTCACTTGTTCGAATAAATAATAAATATGAAAATAAAGAAAATATTAGTCATGTTACTTTCACCGTTTTTTTAATCTCTTGTCTACTCTATTTCAAGTACGTAATAGCACGAATAAAAGATATTTGAAAACACGTAATTAAAATAATTGTAGAAACATCATGTCAAAACGGGGCAAGTCATATGAATGCATGCACATGACTAGAACATTAAGATATTAATAGATAAAATGAGATAAAAGGTGCGAAGATATTTTTTTAGGTGACAATGAGCTATTTGAGAACTTTAAACATCAACATGTTTTTTTTACTTTTGTCTTCTTATGAATAATAAATGTCTTTTATTCGATGCGAGTTTATAACTTTAACGTGACACAAATATACAAATTAATGAACGAATACAAATTTTTATTTTTAACTCTTTTTTTAATAGATTAATAAAAGAAAATACAATGATATTTTCATAAATAACATATCGATTTAGTTCCCCGGTTTTGTTCGAATTCCATATCTTTTCAATTGCTGTAACTTATCAGCTAAGATAATATTGTATTGCGTCATTAGAAATTTTTTGATTCTAACTAATAAAAATAAATGATAAAAAAATAAGATGCAAGATATATTATGAGATAAAATAAAATAGTTGGCTGAATTAATATATTAATAAATTTAAGATTCTTTTTTATTGTCATTTTCTTGATTATTCGTATCAGATTCATCCCGTTGATGTAGTAATTCAAAGCTTTTGACATATTGACGTGAGAAAACGTCTAAATATTAAAAAATGGCAAATAAATAAATAAATAAATAAATGAATATATTAATTATATTACCAATATAAAAAGAAGCTCCATTATAGACACTAACCATAAACATTAAGCAAAGAAATATGGCATTGACGTACCTAGAATACAACTTTCATCAAACTGAACTGACAGGTCAATGAATCTGGCCTTCAAAAACAAGCAATTTTTGCCTTAGGGGGATCCCCCCTTTCCCGACTCAAAATTTTCACACTTTTTGTTTTTCATTTTTTGTGATTACTATATAGATTTAAATGCCCTCTATCCATTGAGTACACTTTGAGAACTGAAAATCCACATCTTATATATACAAAACTTCGAAAAAAATCACAAAATATGCTGAAAAAACCAAAAAACAGAAATTTCTTTGCATTTTTCTCAAAATCAGTTTTTTCAGCACAAAAATAAAGTTTTTCCCCTTTTCTCCTCTCGCACCACAATCAATCGACCTGAAATTTTTACTGTGAATACTTCGAATAATTTTGGATGGCCGTTTTTTTTTTCTCTTGAAAATATTCTTCTTAAGGAATTTTACTAGGTACCACAAAATTGGCACTATAAGAAAAAAACGAAAAAAATCGCATTTTTTGATAGTGCCGTCAGTGATTTGATTCTCCTGACCCTTAGGAACAATATTTTTCGAAGAAAAAAAAAACGGCCACCCCAATTTGTTCCTAGTTTCTGCAGAAAAAATTTCAGCTCGAAACAAAGCAGTATAAGAGTTTTGCGGGGGGGAAAACTTCAGGTCATTTTTCGCCCTTGGATCGCAAATATCTCTGGAAAGCCAGCATCTTCGAATTCTGAGCCTATGACAACTTTTGCTCTACTCATCGAGATCTATCTACCCTGAAAATTTCAGAAAATTTCACCGAGCCGTTCTCGAGAAACCTCGGAAAGGGGGGGGTCCCCTTAAGGATACGAAAATATTCTCGTATTCAGTCAGACTATTTAGAAAATCGATGGAACTTGGAAACAATATTCCGAATCGAAAAGTTTACGAATTATTCCGAATAGCTTCTGGTTATTCCTTGCCAGGAAGTACAGAAAATTGGATGGAAGCCACCGAAAAAATACTCTCGAATTCCATTGACTTGTTGTGTTTTTCTGTCGAAATTGACCCTTATGCATTTATCTGGGTTAAATGTACGAATTATTTTATTTCTTTTTTTATTATCTCAAATACAAGAATAACAACTTACATGTTTTGATAATACCATAATGAAACTGGTAAAATTGCAATAAGCATGTATAAAAATTGTAGTGTAAAATAAATAAAAAGTTTATATCGATTAATTCCAGCATTAGGTTCTCCAAAACCTAATTTTTTAATAAGACGTGAAACAAAACCTTTTTCATTAGTTAATAACCATGTATACGATGTTACTCTTAATCCACTTGCAACCTTCTGTCGACGCCCATGAACAATAAATGTATAGTACAATATTTGCCATACCAAATAAAAAATAATTGTATAAAAAATCGATGTACCCATAGGAAGTTTTGAACCAGTATTGACAATAGCTGGATAATATTTTAGTTGAAGATCAATTGGTAAAAGCCAACGAAGAGTAAACATTGTTAATGGTGGATACCTAATAAAAATAAATCGATAAAAAACGATAAATATTATTAAAATAAATTCATAGATTTACATATGAATGAATATACTCGTTACTTTATCAAAACCTATCATAACAAAAAGAAAATTCGTTTGTTTTTTCATTTTTTTCAATGTGTGATTAAGAAAAAACTAACTATGAAAAACAAGAGAATTTTTCCAAAGAACTATTGCAAGAGCTACTGGACCATGAGTTAATGAATAACAAACAGCAAAAAGAATTTTTGATGATGGTAAAATCCATAAATAGATTAATGTTAAAAGATTAACAAAATAACATAAATCAAAAACTAAATAGAACAATTTTAAATTAAATATTAATTTATATCAATTAAATCATACCAAAATAATGCCAATGTTTACTTTTGTAAATAAAAAATCGAAGTGTTATGAGACAAAGTGCTTGAACTGTATAAATTATTGGTAATATATGAGGCCATTTTGCAGCTAAAAGTCGGATAAATAAATGCAATGCTTCAAAAATAAAGTTATTAGCGCAATTCCTTTGGAATTGAAATATAAAATACTATGTAGCTACTCTTACAAATTACAAGAAGATTTTATTATTCTAGACATATTTCTATATCATCCTTTTACTTAGTCTCTGAGCAATGCAATCAAGAGATAGTTGATATATTATAACGAAACGTTATTGATATACAGATCCGTGCTCTTATATCAACAATGTCGGTTGCAATCTGTGATATATCCTTGCAAAGATGTCTATCATATCTGTAATGAGCAGGTATCCCTTGAACTCGAATATTCGTGTTCAGGTTCGGTCTTAAATGCAGTCATCTTTAGTTAGTTAATAAATCTACAGACAATGAAGCAAACAATCTCAAAAACTGAAAGGTAGCCGACTTTCTATAATAATAAGTTAATGATGTTTGGAAATATTCAAATGTTGGATTTGGTCGAAGGTAAATGTGCTTCTATAAATCGCCTATATGTTTTAAGAACTGTTTGAACATCTCTTGAAATACTCGACATGATCTCAACTCTTTAGATAAGTTGCATACCGTTGTGCTTGAACTCTCAACTATAATTTGAGTTCATTGCATGCCCAGTGAGATGCAAATTTCTACTCTATATGCTTCAACGTTGCTTATAGATCGTGCGTGATATAAACAAAAAACCATATCATACCAACTAATGGAGAAAAACAAGTATTAGCAACTCCAATTGTAAATGAAATTTTATCTCTTGTTCGAATAAAATCTGGTTTTTTTAAATTTTCAGATAATAAATGAACATGGTTCTCTAATTGAACTTTAAGTATACGTTTTTGTTCTTCAACTTCTTCTTTTGTTCGATGCCATCGTTGTCGAGAATCTTCTTTACGTTCTTCAACTAAAAAAGGAAAGAAATTTTCAAACAAAAACAGAAAGTAAATTCACCATTGTATTTATATTCTATACTTTGATTTTTTATCGAATCGATTTTACCAGAAAAAAATTCAAGAAAATCATAAAGATCAAGTTCATCACTATTATCTTCTTCTTCTTCAACTAAATTATTATTTTCCGTCATATCTAAAAAGAGACTACAACTAATTGAAATATTTTTCATAGTAAAAAGGAAATTCTACATTGAAATTGAATATCAGCGATAAAAAAGAAGTCTTACAAACAAATAACATTACACAAAAAAATTCATTCATAGATCACAAAAAGAAAAAAACAAACAAAAAATTTATCTGAACCTACATTATATATCAGTATTAAGATCAATGAAACCTACACACATTGTTTCCTGTCCAATTAACGCAACACTTGGTGAAGATGCAAAATTATTCCATTTAATTTCATCTATATTATGTTTTGATGATTCATCAGGTAAATTAATACAAGATGCACCTTGTGATGTCCATATATAAATGCGATTATTATGTGTGCATAATGCTAAACGATCACGTTTTGGTTCCCATTTAACACATCTTATCGGTTGAAGTTGTATAAGAACAAAAACTAAATGAAATGTTGGTTTAAAATCAAATATAAATAAAATATTTGGCATTGTATCATTGATTGTTGATAAATATCGACCTGAACATGAATATTCAATTGATGATACACCTAATCGTGGATTAGCCCGATCAAGATCAGGTTTTATTGGTGCTATTTGAAGTGTTCCATTATAAATAATATATTTTGATTCAACAGAAACATTTGTTTCTATTTGTGATAATGCAGATGATGAATAAGCAGAAGATGAATAAGGTTTACGTTGACTGAAATATAAAATTAAGATAACTTATATTTATTAAATTTACGGAAGTATTGTTTATTCACTCATGTGTGAATCATTATGCTGATTCTTTAACGACTTACAATACTTAATAGTTGATATTGTTTAACTGAAAGTCCTAACGAGACATTCCTTAATACTGAAAAAAAATTCATTTGTACTCATAACTTTTTTTTGGAAAACTATGACGAAAAATTTGAAATATGAAAAAGTTGGTTCTGTCGAATTTGCATTTGGTTTGCTATTTTGGTATAGTGCTCGTTTTTAGAAGAAAACATTTAAAAGATTCTGTTCACATAACTTTTTTTAAACGGATATTTGAAATACTTTCTGTCTTCAGTATGATTGTTGTATTTTTTTATTTTTCTGATGACTAGAAATATAGAGTCGTTCATAAACAGTTCTGCATTACATCAACTAGTAGCTCCAAGTAGAGATGTACAGGTTTACCGTATCCTGTAGGATATATTAGAGTACGGGTAAATGTGACTATATAGATATTCATAATTGGTAAAAAAAATCTATTTTTATAATTTACCTTTGATCATTTTTTTCTTGACCATCTAAATTATATTCTTCTTCTTTTAAAATTGTATAACCTTTTCCTGATGATAATTTTTGTGGATGATCAAATGATGCTTGAATTTTTTTATATGTTAAATAACTAAAAACAGTTATACGTTCTTCATAATCTCCTACAACAATAACTTGTCCTGTTGGTGACCATCGTGCACAACGTATACCTAATGATAAACGATCATTTTCTGGTTTATATATATTTAATAATTGTCCATCAAGTGTATAAAAAACAATTTTATATTCATAAGAATTTTCCCATAAACATAAAACATCAGCTATTGGTGACCATTCAATACCTTGAAGATCTTCTAAATCATTTGGTTGAAAATGTGCAATCATTGACCAATTAGATGAATAATCAAATATTGATATATGATCTGTACTATCATTACGACGTTCGACTAATGCCATATATGGTTTTAATAAACTAAAAACATATGAATTAGGTGAAAGTTTTTTTGGATATTTTATATAAGAAACATTTTTTGATGTTAATGACCAAACTGTTATACGTAAATGAAATTGTGCTGTTGTTAATATATGTCGAGAATCTGGTGCCCAATGTACTTGACAAAGACCAGCTGAACCTTCATCAATTTTACATTTCCATTCAGGATTATCTAATGAAAATAATTGAACAGCATTACGTTTTATTAAACCAGCTAATATTAAACGTGAATCATATGACCATTCGATTGTATCAATTGTATCAATACAAGCAAATAAATTTATGATTTCTAATGTGGTTGATGAACGAATTATTAAACGATATTGATTAACACATGCTAAATATTGACCATCAGGAGAAAATGAACATTGACGAGATGTTACTTTAAATAATTCACTAAAATTCATCTAGAAATGAGAAATAAAAAAACAAACACTCACATAGCTTATCTTCAATAATATTTAGATGGAAAAAAAATCGTATCATAATGTTAATGGACAAACTGATATGGAAGACATCCAAACTGATATTCATCGTTGAAGCTCATATTTATCCTACAAAGACGTCTTGATGAGACAAACAAAAGCCTAAAATGGTCCATTTCCATAGGTCTTTGGAGCCAAGTTAGGATCATTTTACTGAATTTTCGATTCAGTTTTGGATACTTACCGAAAAATCAAGTCACGGAATTCCGATCAGAAATCTTTCTTACAGAAAATTCAATAACCATTAGTATATTCTCAAAGCTGCAACTGAAAAGAATGTTCTTTTGTGAAAATATCAAATTTTCAAAAAATAATCACTTGCCACAGGCATAGTCAAAAAATAAATCGAGTTTACTTGAAAATTCATTATCTTGACAATCGAATGTTCTTTTCAGTTGAAACTTAAAGGACATTTTCAAGGTTTATAAGACCAATCTATGAACAAAACCTCTGATCGAAACTTCGTTACTTGATTTTTCACTAAATACCTAAAAACAAAGTCAAAAATTCAAAAAAACACTCATAACTTGGCTTTTAAAACTCATTGCGACGAACCGTTTCAATCTTTTGCTACTCTCATCAAGGTGACCTTATTGGTCTAATATGAGCGAAAATGATGTGTATCAGTTTAAATGCTTTCCTCGAAAGGTTTTAAACATATTCAGCATAAAGAATATCTTCTAACAGAGAAAACTAATCATAGCCTGATTGTTTTCAAATAATTCCGATCGATATAAGCTAATGAAGCTATAATTAGTATGGTTTCCGTATCAGTCATAATGATCAACTAATTAAAGTATAATCGATTTATTGGAACGAGTATCAACATTTCGGAGGATTTGAATCATGTTTATTAAAGGAATAGAATATTATAATAGCTACAGATGAAATTAGAGATTCGGATTGATCATTATAATTTCATTCGACTATTATTCGAATAGGAATGTATTATGTTCAGTCTATCAATCACATTTTTTCACCTTATCTTATTGAAAAAAATCGCAACATGAAATAGAAAATGTTTTCAATTCAATTTCAAGATTGTCAAATAATGAGAAAAAAAACGAATAAAGTAATTGATTTCATTTAATAAAGATTTTATGTCTATTTTCGAACAAAAAATAAGTAAATCAGTTTCTCTGTTTAACTCATTATACGATGTGCTCTTCTAGATCAAAAGAATCTTTCAATATTTCAGAGAGATTTGTAAGTGACGAGGTGAATGTGTTGATGAAGATGGATTCTATTGGATCTTATCGACTACAAATATCAAATAGAATCGATCGGAGTACATGATAATCCAATGAGTCAATTAAAAAATACAGAATCGAACACAAAGGTTTGAGATAAAAATGAAGAAGTGAACTTGGTATCATAAGACCTTCAAGAACTTCAGTAAATTTACACATACTTTGATGAATTCTGGTGAACTTCGATACACATCAATAAAATCTTTTTAGGATCCTATCAAAAATCACTAGAATCATAGAATCGTCAATCCATATTTCTCCTAGTCATTTTTTAGATCGTGTTGATAATAATTACTTTCAAATATTCAACTTACAGGATTTAGTTTTTCAGGATTTTACTGTAAGTTACAGCGTGGATTTGAACAAAAACTAGAGAAAACCAAGAAAAAAGTCCAATGTTCAACACTAAGTTTTTTCTTATGCCTATGTAAAATGTTTTACAACAGGTGACGAAGATTGAATGTGACAACATTCCTTTCGTTCCATTCTGAGATACTTTGATACAATTTCAAAAAAACTGTTCAATACATTCTAGAAAACTGTTGTCTTGGTTTTTCAAGTCATTGTTTTTGTTGGAAGAAAACTCAAAAGGTTAGTACCTATTTCATATTCAAACTACGACTGTCAAGTTACAGAAAATGGGAAACTGCAGTTAGACTATAGAATAAGTTTCTAGGGAGAACAATTTCCCATCTAATGAGTATCATTAGACGAACTTCTAAAAGTGTATTTAAGTCTACTACAATAAAAAAAGAAAATAAATTCGTCCCATTCAGTGTACGCCACTTTTTACACAATCAAAAGGCAAACAGACAAACCCCATCAATTTAAAGTAGCTGTAAGTGTAATACGTTGTAACTGTTCTTGTTAATTATAGAGAGACTATTTTATTCTAGACATATTTCTTCATCATCCTTTTACTTAATCCTCGAAAAATGCAATAAGAAAATAGTTTATTTATTATAACGAGACGTTACTTATGTACGATCTTTGATCATATATTAATAATGTTCGTCGCTATCTGTGACGTAGGGAGCAGGAATCCTGCTACGATATCTATGACAGAAAGGAAAATGGAATGACGTTGCTAAGATGTCTGCAATGTCTGTGATGTATCACTGCTAACATGTGTACCATGTGTGTGATCAACTGTTTCTAACGTATCTGTCAATGTATCGATCCTAACTATCATGGCCTATGACGTCTTCATGGTAATGTCTGTTATTGTCTGCGGGAAATGTGAAGTGCTACTCTATATACTTCAACATTCCTTTTAGATTTTGTATTCCAACAACAAGACCTTGCAATTATCTCTTATAATATGCCAACGATTCATAAATAGAATTACTTGCCAATTACCATATATATGAGTGAAATGATTCTTCTGATAAAATAATGTTTAGTTGAATTTACAAAGTTTACATGATTTTGTTCTCCAATTATTGTAAAACTTTTAAATAAATATCATCTATAAATAAAAAGAAAATGACTGTTTGCTTGTTTATTTTTTTTTCTCATATAAAAATTTAAAACAAATTGAGCTTGTTACTAAATAGACATTTTCGTGCTTTTTTTTATCATTCTGCCACAAACTACATATACTTGTTATACTCGAAAATAAATAAATAAATAAATAAACTTAAAATTAAATGTTTTTCTTTATGCTTTGTGTTTTTTTCAAATCATTAACGGAGTTCATAATGAGCTGTTGTTTAGTTTTAGCTTCAAATTTTTCTTTTTGTTCAATTATATGTTCTTTACGTACAAGATCAATTATTTCTTTTAAATGTTTTTTGGAAATTTGAATATTTTCATCACCAATAATTTCAAGTGTCTAAAAAAAACGAGAAAAACAATAAGAAAAATTTTATTTAAATGAAATAAAATATTGGTTTATTTTTTCTTATTTTTACTTTTAATATTTCATCAATTGCAATAAAACCATCTTGATTACGATCAAATTGATGAATTATATCCCAAATTTGAGCATCTGTAGATTCATTCGAAGCTTTCTGTATTTGACGTATTGTGTTAATAAATTCTTGTGTTGATACAAGCATATTTCTATAAATAAATTTAATTCTTTATTTAAAGAAAAAAGTCCTTAGGATATACTAAAAATAGTGCTCTATATTTCATCATTCTTCAATTAATATAATAATAATAATAATAATACTTCAATAAGAGCTGTTTCTTAAGATATGTGATGATGATACTTTTAAGTATTTTGCATAACTGTTGATGGAAACAAGGTAGAGAAGACAGATACTCATCAAGTCGTATATTATTCATTTTTCTAATATGTTTTCTTAAACAATGTCGGAAAAAGATTTTTTTTTTCTAAGGAACAAGGCAATAATGTGATATTTTTAAAGATAAATTGCTAGAAAAAACTATTTCAAGTTCTGAATAGAATAAGTATGTAATTCCTAAATGCAGCAATCTAAGCACTTGAAACCTAAACTCTTGTTAATCTTCAATTAGATGTTTGAATCCATATCCGATCACAGAAAAATTCACTGCATACCCTATATGAAGTGAACAAACTGTAATATATACTATCCGATGTATCGTCATCCCTCTTTCTAAAAGCTTGGTCCTAATGATAGCTTCGAAAAGTATAGTTTGGCTATAGTTCCAATCTACAGAAAACTATTCTAGAATTGATGCATAGCACATCTAAAAAGCTCTTTAGCACTTGGTTTTTTATATTTATTTAGTCGACGACTAGCAGTTTTAGGAATATTTCTCTTGAATTATGTTCTGATTGATATGATTCATAAAAATAGTTCACTTATAACCAGAAAATATTTAGCTGTAACTTTACCTATGATTGCAATAACTTCTCTTACCCATACTTTGAATGCCAGTTCTCGCATATTTCTATTATTGTCACATATTATAACACATGGCTCTTATTGAAATTTTATGATTATGATATATAGTTGAGTCTCTTCACAAGCTTTCGTGCGGCGTAAGTATAAGATAATATAAAAACCTTTTTTCAGTGAGAACATCTTTGTGTTGTTGAATTTGATCACTTTTTAATAAGGCTTCATCTTTCAGTTTATCTTCTTGAACCTAGAAAAATATAAAATTAAAAAAAAAACTAATTAATTTAGAAATCAAAATCAACCTAACTTTAATGTCTTTTTTAAGTTTATCTTGTTTTTTATCAAGTGTTTGAACAATATGATCAAGATCAATAACAAGTTTATCAATACGTTTTGACAATGCTTTAGCTGAACGTGTCTCACTTAAATTTTTAAGTTGTTTTGTTGCAACTAATGTTGCAAATTCTTTAATATCATCTTTATAAAATTTAACATCTTCCTACAAAAAACGATATCAATAAATAGAAATTTATTTATTTGCAAAATTTACTCTAAGATCTCGAATTTCTTCCACTGTATTTCGAACTTCTTGAGCTTTTTGATTAACAAGTTGTGCAAGTGCTGTTTCAAATTGTCTAACATCAATATTTTGTTCATCTTTTTTCTCTTCTTTTACCATATCATGAAGTACTAATGCTTTATTATTAACAAGATTTTCTATTTTAGGAACATCTAATGTTGTTGTTAAAACAATTTGTTCCATAAATTTTTTCTTCTTAACTTCATCATCACTTAAAATTTTTGTTTTTATTTTTTCTTCTCGTTCTTTTCTAATAGTTTCATCTTCATGTTTAATATATTCAATACGTTGTGTATTATCAATACGTTCTCCACTAGCTTGTGCTAAATGAATAGCTGTTACATTATCAATTGCTTTTGGTAATGATTGTATAGTTGCTTTTAGAACATTTTCTTGTGAAATATTTTCTGGTAAATAAAGAGAACGAGATAATAATAAAATTGTTGATGGTATACGTTTATTAAGATGAAGATCAAGCCATTGTTGTAATTGTGAACGTAAACGTTCAATACTAACACCATATGAACGCATACCACGTTCACGACATGCTGCTTGTAATTCTTCAACGTTAAGATTTTCAATACCTTCGGATTCAATTAATTTATCATCAGCTTCTAAATGACGTAATCTTAAATCAAGTATAAAACGAAGATAATAATCAGGACCAATGAAAGATATGCCAATTAATTTACATAAAGCAACTAAATGTTGACGATCAAGATTATCTAATGTTGATTTATTTTCAAATAAAGAAGAAAATTTCATTATTTCTTCTGTTGAAGGTTGAGCACCCGTTGAACGAATCTAAATCAAAATTAAATTTGATCATTTTAATATTACATGTATATACATAATATTAGCAAGTTATTATTTATTTGTTATTTTCTTTATTCAATTATTTATGCCTTATTCAATAGGAAAATTAATTGAATTAGTAACAAAATAGCCCAAAAAGATAGCATATACCTTTCTTTTTGTAATTAATGAAGCGTAGGAAAATCTACTGATAAAGATATTTTTATTATTTACGAAAACGTTGCACTATCACTGGAAATAAACAACAAATCCATTAAATATGCAATCTCTACTGGAACAGTGCACTCCTGCCTTTCGACTACCTCACAGTATGAAGTACTGCCGAGTGGCAGGTTCAAAAGATCGATATCTTTCCTAAAACTATGATTAGCTATAGCCCTGGACAGAAGATCGGTCTAACACAAAGTCTTGCACAAATGCATGCTATAACATAGTTAGCATCGTATCGAACGACTGATCTAAGCCAAACAACCATTAGTGATTTGCTCAAGGTTACTTCATGGCAAGTAGTATAGCATAGTGAACACAGTACCTTGAAAATGCATGTTGAACAACGTAGTCACTCACTCATGTCAGTTCAAACTCTCTCGAAGAACATCGTATTTCTTTGTTAAAGTACTTTTCATTTGCATGGAATCATTCAACTTTGATGCTGATTACTCCTCGATTCATCTTTATTATGTTTTAATTTGTTTCGCATAATAAAATCAAAATTTATTGATAATTTAGATCATAGATACGCTCTACCGACAGCATGTATTTGACTGTAGGGAGAACAAATTCAAATAATGAACTAACAAAATTAGTACGACATATCATATATGCAAAATGAATATTTTAATAATACTTAAACTTTAGCAATAATTAAAAATTATTTATATGCATAATTAATTTTTCAAACATCTATTCATTAGGAATGGTATATTCTATGGTCGTGTAAAACTTGTTGGTGGAAGTAGGGCCAAAAATGACTAGTCCTACTCATATCCAAATAAGATAGTTTTCCTGTGGCATAATTGAATTTTTACAAAAGATCAAAATCTAGCGAATATGATGGCGTTCTGCGATGGAATTTCGTATCATAAGACGATAAGTTTTTTTCTGAGTAGCATGTATTTAGTTGAAATCATCAAAAACTTATCCATCTAATTTGGATATCCATTTTTGATCAAAAAAAAGTTAAATTGAATTTTTTTATACTATCAATGATGTGAAAAAAGAAAAAAATGAATACCGTGTTCATAAATTCTACAAATTGTGTTGCCAATGCATCATGAGAACGTTTTTTTTTCGATTTTAATGCTGTTGCTTCAAGTGTATCTTGTAAAAACTTAGCAACTTCTAATTTAACTTTTATTTGTTTTTTTAATTTTTCTTTCTATAAATAAAACATGTATATTGATTATTAGATCGAAGAACAGAAAAGAAAAGATATTTATACTTCTTTATCTGCTTCTTTAAATGTACTAGGTAACATATTAGGAAAGAGTTTTAAAAATATTGGTAATGTAAATTCCATAAATGGTACAATAATAAATACAGAAAACGGTACCAGTCGAAATAAATCAGCAACCGTACGAGTAAACTAAAACTAAAGATTAGAGAAGAAACATTATGGTGTTTTGGTTTTCAATACTTGTTTTCGTTCTCGTCGTGTTAATGTATAACCATTTAAAACTTCTCTTAGAAGACGAAATGCAATTCTTGTTTCAATAAATAACAATTTAGTACCATTATAATAATGTTTTAATTCACGAACAATACGTTGCCCAATAGATTTACGTTTAACTATCGTGGATTCATTCTTTGTAGTAATTAATGCAGCATCTGGTCGAACGATTGGAACATTTGTTATTGATCCTGTTTGTTTCGCATCTTTTTCAAATGAATTTCCAAGTTTTTCTTGTTTGGATTTGTCATTATAAAGTACTGCAGATGAATGAAATGTACGAATATCGGTTAATGACAATATTAATAATCGCTTCGAATCGATTGATAATATACGTTGACCATAGATATAACAAAACAAATGTTGTTTTACTATCGACACATTGGCTCGCCCTTCAATTAGAAAAAAAAAACATTTATGTTTATGAATAATGGTTTCGTTTTTCTTTCTGTTGTAAATACATGTGTTTGTTTTTCAAGAAAATAATGAACTATTTTTTGAACATACCGATGGTCGATATTGACAGAAGTCGGTTGCCAATTTGAATAATTTTCATTCAATCCAGTTTATATAGTATAAAGACTATTTGGAAAACATAATAAACAAAAAGAAAATTATCTAAATAAATTAGATTATTGAGAAAAAAAAACACAACAGTTTTATATTATCTTTTGATAAAAAAAACCCAATCAAAAACAATAAAAGTCAATAAGTCGGTTTTCAAATCGATATATTAAGTTTTCTTATGTTATATTAAAATTTTGAAAAAGATTTAAATTATTAGATTGATTGATAAATGTTGTAAAGATTTTTTTATTGACATTATTTATTTATTGGCGAAAAATTAATTAAATTACTTTAGTTGATTCCATAGAATAACAAAAAAATTCTGAAATCTCTAGCTGAACATATATGTATGTCTACTTTGTGACCCAGGAGACATAATATACCACAGTCCGTAAACCGATTGGTTTGACAGGTGGCGCCAAAAATATAACTGCTTTTAGCTCATAGATGGAAAGAATCAATTCCATAACAATCGAGGCACTTATGAAATAATATCTTCCATTGAAAGATATTATCACTTCTTGTTTTCTTATTATGAATACCTGTAATTATTAAATAATAGCTTTAGTTTTTTTACAGACATATTTGTGTCAAATCATCAACCAAGTCGTATAGTCTTTGAAATTTTTAATTTTATTACCTAAAAAATGAGGTTTTTAGTGATCGATGAACTTGAAAAAACAAACGAGATAAAACATACTTTATAGTGAAACTAGTTCTAAAGATTTTATATAATACATGCATATATCAATTAGAATGTGAACCCAAGCGTTGAATATTATGGATAGTTAATGGGTAATATTTTTATTTTATTGGTTAATAATATTCAAATGAAATAATAATGATTGAGTAAAGCTGAGAAAAGATCACTTTTGATATTTACAAAGGTAAACATATGTATTTCAGAAAACAAATATTGCTTTCAGTTTGCAATGAATTGAATATTTAAGCGAAAAATTGATCTGAATGTAATGCAGCTAGACGACCGCATGAAAATGTTTATTTAGTTCTACTGCATTTATTATTATTATTTTGTTTTATTTTGAAAAATCAACTATATTAAAGTTGTAGTCATGATAGAAGTCAAATGAAATTGTAAAAAATTGTTCATTTTCGAAACTTGAGAAAAAGATCGAGCTGAAGGTCATTTTCAATTGGACGTGGTTTTTAGTAGGTGGCGCTGAAAGTAAAGTCACTAATATCCATTGAAAGTGGGCATTAGCTCCATAACAATAGAATCTTTGATGGAGACCAAAAGCCAATCGAACAAAAGTTTGAACAAATGACACTGGTGCATTTTATTTTTCAGACCGATATCAGGCTCATGTAGTATAGAAAAAAAGAGAAAACAACTAGAATATTGATTGATTTTCTATTGCCCATGATACAAATTATTCATCAATTTTATCATTCGATGTAGCATTATGAAAAATTAAATGAAACTGTTACATACAATTTATGACGTATAGAAATTTATTTCTTATAGTTTCCATTTGATAATTTTTAGTGTCGTATATTTGGATTATTAATGATTATTTTTTCCTCATGCTCATCTATTAAATATTATATAGTCGACTATTGGAATGATCGTTAATTAATTCATCAATATCAAATAATAACTTATAGCTATACGATGATCGCAACCTCATGTACGATTCTTTTCGTCCTTGTAGTTTGATTATTTATTTTTTTTGCCGTGTTCCAAATGAATAACAATAGGATTTACATGAATCATTTTTTTCTTTAAGAAATGTTACTCATTTTATAGACAAAATGTTAATATGCATGCTTCATACATCTGAATTGATTCATTTGAATTATTTTAGACTAATTCTCAATTTTAGTTCATATGAAAAGAAGATATTTTCTTTTCTTTCAGATAATGCATAATACACTTGAATTACATGGTAAAGAGAGTGGTCAGATATGGCATCGAAAAGGAACAGGAAAAAATGGGTATATAGACATATGTGGTTTTGTTTTCTTTCTGTTAAGTTTAAAAATAATAATATTTATTTAATCATAGTCTTCTTGTTAATGTTCTACATTCCATATTCAACGTTGCTGATGTACCCTTAAAAACAGTACATTTTTTACAAGCAGGATTTGATCGAAATGGTGAACGATTATTGGCTGTTGATCAACGTGGCAATGTTTATGTTTTTGATCTTATTCGAAATAAGTACAGATAATGTAAAGAATTAATTTCATTTTTGTTTGTTTTGTTTTTCAATGTAGATTTGAACTTGTTCATCGAACTGGTACAAGTTGTACAGCAGTTGCATTTAATTTGCGAAATCCATCTGAATTTTTAATTGCTATGCCTGATTTTACTGTTAAATGTTTTGACGCTGGTAAAACTTCATAAGAATATTGTAATTAAATTTGGTATTATTTTTTTTTGTTATAGACAAAAAAGAATTTGTTGCTTGGTTAAAAGGTCATACGACACCAGTTAAAGAAATATCTGTCGATAGTAATGGAGATTTTTGTATAACAACATCAGCTGAAATAGCTTTTCTATGGGAATTAAAAACATTTGAACGAAAACGTAAATTAACAATTACAAATAAAAATGATGTTTGTCTTTTTCGTGTAAGAAAATATTGAATTAAATTTTTGAATTTTTGAATTTTTAATATTTGACATGTACATAGGCTTTCTTTTGTCCTGTATCAAATTATATTTTAACATGTTTTCGTGATGATTCTATCCTTGTATGGGATGCAAGAAATCTTGAATTTAAATATCAATTAGCTGTACCAGAAAAAAATCCACCATTTTATCGTGCATTTGCTGTTACAAAGTTTGTTTAAACATGAAAAGGAAAGTTGTTTCCAAATTAATCAAAATATATATATTTTTTAGTGATGGTAGTATACTGGTTTGTGGTGGTAAATCAAGTTATTTACAAATTTGGAATTTAGAAACACATAAATTAGTAAAAATAATTGAATTACCAAAAACAATTAAAGAAATTAAAGAAATGGCATTTGTTAGTCAAAGTTTTGATGGTGGTTCACATAAAGTATGAATTTGACATCTAGATCATTGATTGTAGCATGCTGAATTCATGGATTTGCACCAGGAAACTCGAAAACATAGTATGAACTTGAGATTAGAAATCAAACAGTCGAATAGTTTCATTTCTGGACCAAATCTAGCAGAATTGGTCAATGGATTCTCGCTTTCAAGTTCATACCATTTTTTAGTCGAAATCGCCTCGCATTTCTCAGCAGTGTCAAAACTAAAAGTTGAATTCAATTCTTCAGCTCGGATATTCAGCTCATGTGGAAACCTCTTCAGATGTCAAATCAGTTTTCAACCGAGACAATATTCATTAGATGAGTAATAATGTTTCGATTTCAAACCTTACACAAACAAATATTCTATGTGACTGGTTGATTGTGTAACTTGTAGCTTTTCTAATATTTCCTTTCTTAAGATGTAAATATATGAACAAAATTTACGTTAACACATAAGTGAATTTTGAATATCCCAGAATAGAAGCTTCTGAAAAAGTCGAAACTTTTCAAATTAATTAATCTCATTGAGAACTTTGTTCATGCAAAGCTTAAAGTCAAAACTCGAAAGTCAATCTTCCACGTGATCTGAGGCAAACTACAGCTTCGTGTTGAATAATCCAGTAGAATTTCGATATTTGAAGAACGGAGGCCTGGGAAACTAAACAATTCTAGACTTTTTCTATCGTTCAGCAGTACTCATCAAATGAAAATTGTCTCGATCGAAAAGCGATTTGACATCTGGAAATATTATCGTCAGATATTTCGATAGAGAGACTATACGTTTGTTTCCGCGAATAGTTAAATTAAGGTTCAGGCTTGACACTTATGGTATTTCTTTATCTGGGAAATAATCTTCTGAAAAATGATGTTCTTCGAAATTTTGTTTTAAAGATCATCGCTATGCTTTGTCAAGATGGTATTCTTCGTTTTGCTGATATTGAAACATGTCGTGATTTATTTCAAATTGGACAAGAAACTGATTCTATTCAACATTTTCTTCTTTCATCAAATGGAAAATTTTGTACATGTACACTTGTATCAGGTCAATTACACATATATGATTTAGCAACCACATGGAAAGAATTAAATCGAGCACCATCACCAATTGTTCGTGCATTACGTTCAAATGAAGATTTTCATAATGATACAAATAGTCAAATAACCTGTTCAAAAGGATCAACAACAACACGAAGTTCGAGATCACGAATAACATCAAGCACAAATACAGTAACAACAAATAAATTGGCTATTAAAAAACGTAGTCATTCAGCATCAGATCGTCTTCAATTGAAACAACATTATGCAACGAGAATATCAGATAAAACAAGTGTATCATCATTGATGCTAGATCAATCAGCAGTAAGATTATTAAAAAATATAAATAAAAGAACTTGTAATGAGAAAAAAAAATCTGTTTCTTATTAGTTTCGAAATTTACCTGAAGGTTTAAATTTTAAAAAACTTTATAAAATATTACGATTTTATGGTGAATATCCAACAAAATATCGGTAAGACAGAAAAAATCTAATGAAAATGAAAATGATTTTTATTTTTATTTTCCAAAACAAAGAGCATTCATTTGGCGATGTCTTCTTCGTTTACCTGAAAATCATGCTGCTTATGCTGCACTTGTTGAAAAAGGTGGACATTTAACATTTACTAAATTACAAGAACAATATCCATTAAAAAGTCGAAAATTATTAAGAATTATGCAACGGTATGTAAACGACAGTTATGAATTAGGTTTTTCTTTATATGTTCTGTATTTTTACTAGTGTATTATCAGCATTAGCTCATTGGTCATCAATATTTGGTGAAACAGATTATCTACCATTATTATCATTTCCATTTATAAAATTATTTGAAAATAATCAACTTATTTGTTTTGAAGTTATTGCTACGGTTCTTTTTAATTGGTGTCAATTATGGTTTATGTATTTTCCAAATCCACCAGTTAATATTT